TGGTTTGAATTTGTGAGCAGTTTCTGAGTAGTCACAATCAAATTAGAAATTATGTTTTAGGCTTATTGCTCTATTTAGAGTTATCTTAGGTGCAAGATAAATTCCATGCAGTATTTTGTCAGGATCAGATTGAAATTGAAACTAACTAAACTTATGTGTAACTGAAGAAACACTTTGATATTATTTGCTAAATGAGTTAATTGACCGTACTTAAACAGCTTTCAGTTAAGTAGAGAAATAAGATCTTGAGCTAGCAAAGCAGAAGACAACATAACTTAATGTGTAACTCCTGCCTTGTGAGGTAATACTTCTCTATGTAGTTTATTATTACTTATTAACAACAACAACAACAAAAAACCTGTAAAAATCCCTCACTTTAATTTCTTAAGGGGCTTTTCCATGGAGGTTTGTTGACTGGGAACTGCTGTAACTAAATCCAGTGAGACAACTGTTTTGGTGTAAAGTTTGTTTAACGGTTTTTAAGTAACACAAAACCACTGAGTATTACAAAAGTCACTCAGTTATCTGTAAAGTTATTTGTAACAAGGAATTATAAGATACTTAGAGGTTGTTCCTACAAAGGATTTGAATTGTTCAATAGATAAGCATATCTGCTTGCTTCTCATTGTTATTTAAAAAACAAAAACACTGCATCAGCTCATTTAGATATTTTTGGCTTGTAGATATATATATATATTTAAAAATTAATTTGTTCATGATACATGGAGTGCTTCCAAGCCCTGCCTGTCACATCTGTATAGAAATTGTTTGTGCCTGTATTGCACAGGATCTGAATATCTGTAATATGTCATCTCACCCTGAGAGCTGTCCAAATGGGAACTCTAAATTTAACAATTTTTCAGATCTGTAGTATGAACAGAGTTGACTGATTTCTAACTAGGATTGTTTCTCAGAGGTAAATGTGCTGTCTTGAAAGGGTTATTTCAGCTGACTGGACAAAAATTACTCTGAAGCCATTAAAACAATCGGATGATGTGGTTTAAAAATAGTTAAGAATTTTAGTCTGATTCTATTTTAGGGAAAATAAGATAATGGTCTAATATGTAACTGCTTTAATAGACTAAATTAGACTATCACAACAAATTATAGGGTATATCTGGAAAAATACACAAACCACTATTAGAGCATTTTGTTGTGTTAAGCATTTTTTGGTTTGGGTGAATAGAGATGTTAATAACTATCAAAGATGCATGCATGCACATGTGTATACATACACACAGAAGTAATATACAAATACTTAAATATGCATATAAACTAAATCTGGTTTTAGTTTTCAGCTGAATCTTATTCTGACTGAGTTTGAGTGCTCTCAGAGCAGGATGCTGCAAGCAGCAACATTTCTGTTATTGAAATGCGGTCACCTCATTGAACTTGCTACCAACACGTCTTCTCTATGAGCCAAGAAGCAAGATCTGTAACAGCTGTATTACAGCAGCAGGGCTTTTGGGCAGCATCAGAGTTTGGCTGTAGCATGAGCTGAATTCCTGTGGGAAAAGCATAATCACGGCTGACCCTTTTGCTCTGGGAACTAACCCAAAGCACAGTATGGGCAGCACAGTGTAAAGCGGGTACAAACTTGGTAACGTTTTTTCAGTCATATCAATCACTTTGACACTACTGTCTCTGCTTCTTTCAATAAAAAGATGAATTTTCATTGAATTCATTTTATTTAAAAACTAAGTATATTTTTGTGGGAGAGAGAACTTAATAAATTGCATCAGCATCAAATACTGTTGGTGATCGGGTTGCTGTTTTCAAAATGCTAATTTTGTAAGCCTTTAGGATTTGGTAAAAGTGTGTGCTAATGGCTGTTACCAAAACAAATAAGGAAATCCATTTTCTCCGGCTAGCAGAACTGAGTGCAACAGTGTCCTGCGTGTACTGGGGCACTGCAAAGGAGGTGTGAGCAATTTAAGACAGGGAACCTTTATGTCTCTAAGGTAAATGAAGATGAAACATCAATCTTCCTTTCAATTAGAGATTATACTGCAGAAGTTGTTGTAGTTGAAAAGCCAAAATAGCCTTAGGACAACTGTTTTCATGACTAGAAGAAGGCTTTTTTTTTTTTTTTTTAACTTAACTGCAATCTTTTGATAGCCTGACCTTTTGGGGGAGAAAGGAAGCTTTCAGCGCTTAAGTTTATTGTTTATTTCGCATCAAGGTTTGAATTAAAATCACAAGAAAATGTTAAGAAAACTTTAAGTGACCATGAGGTGCAACTAAATTTAGAAACATGTCAGTAAAGTACATGTCAAAAGTTATGACTCACCTGAAAAGCAATGGTATACTGAAAACAACAGTTTTGAGGCCTTCTCTAACCTGTTGCAAAGTCTTTAATATAATCCAAACGCTCATGGGAAACAAGTTTAATGATGTCTTAGATCTCTGTGCTTTTGGTTCTGCCATTTCAGTTCTTTGGAAATGGCAGTTCCTGGCTTGGAGAACTGAATTAGACCTGGTAAGATGCAAATTCCTCTAAGATCATCAGTGTTTACAAGTTTTGCACCACACTTGCTGATGGCACAGCTCTGTCTTGAATGTGCTCTCTAATAAGAACCTCTTAGTATACACACAAATCTAGGCTGTGGTCTTATGCCTCGATCTGTGTATTGCTACATCTTCAGGCTAGAAATGTGAAGCTGTTCGATACGCTTGCTAGGGTCTGTGTTAGTCCAGATCAATCCTCATGCTTCAGGACTGGGGATCTGGGCTCAGGATTGATAAAGAAGTGAGGACTCGCCTTTCGGTAGTGCTGCCAGCTTTAAATGCTGATCTCATAGAAGTGGTAATTCCTAGAGCAGAACCCTGCAGGTACTGGAATCATTGCACTTAAATCTGTTGAGGGACTGTGTAGGATTACAGAGTTTTTCCTCTCTGTTCACTTAAAAAAAAAAAAAAAAAAAAAGCCTGACTAATCACTTATAATGGGAGGGGAAAAAAGGAATGTCATTTGGAAACAGTATTAACCGCTGACTGCCAACAGAAAACTACCCAAAGCATCTTGCCCGGGTAAGAGCAAGTTCATCAGGCTACTTAATCTGGAAAACTTTTCTAAATTTTACTTTACTTTTTCCCCTGCTTGGAAGCTTGAAATGGAAGACATTTATGGTGATATTTTGGATGCTTCTCAAAATTGGTTTTAGAGGTGCTTTTAATGAGGGTTGGAAATACCTTCTGTAAACACAGAAGTAGGGAGAAGAGATGAGTCTTATGTCAGAAGATGTGCTTGTCTGGTGGGAAGATCTGGCAGGTTGTTGCTGTATTCAGTCCATCCAGGTTCCTGGCAGTCTTCTCCCTGCTGGCAAAGCTATTCACTTTTGACTCTTCAGAAAGACTAAAAGGGAAGATTAACAGTTCATGATCCTTATCTCACTAACACGGAACAAACTGGGTGGTGAAAGTCTGAAAATAATCTCATGGTTGCATTTTCTCTTTTTTATACATAATTAAATCTTCCCCCCCCCCCCCCCATTTTTTTTTCCTTTCCACATTGTTCTGTGGAATAAAAGTAAGATCAAATTTTGTGCTAACGTAAAATAATTTTATATTAATAGCTTGTCAGAGAAATCTTTCAGACGCTGACTTCCATTGTGGCTAGATAATGGGTTTGTTCTGCAGAAGGCAGATTTCTCAGCAAGTGCCAGTCTGGCAAATCAGGCTTTACGTTTTGGATGTTTGAAGTCCCTGTTAAGTTGGTTGCATATACAGAAATTTAGCACTCAAATTGCTGAAGGAAGCAGGAGATTATGAGGGGTCTTAAAGTACAACTTCTTTTTCCTTTGAAGGTCAGTGTAAACTCATGGTCTGGCTTGTCCTCCAACCCCCATGTACAGCATTTATTTAAGATGCTTGTTTGTGAAGGATCCTGCATCTTTTGCTCCAGTGGGGAGGAGATGTTTTGAAAGAAATGGAAAGTTGTGTAGTCTTTTTGTAGCATAAGAAAGTATCGGTGTCCCATATCTTTGTTCTTTTTGATTTTTATATATAAACAATATTTATACATATTGGGATCTTTTGGTATGGCATATACTCAGCTTTCAAGGCTCCCTGACATTTTCTAGCTTCCTTCTGGGTATATGTAGCGAAACTACATTGAAAATTGGTGATCTGAATTAACAACAGGTATGTCACGATAGAAGATGCAGCTTTTTAGCTGTGGTAGCCCACTTTACAGAAATGATTTTAACTACTTGAGGCTGATGATAGCTGGTGATTGACTGGTGGTAGAGCATATAAAGGAAGCGCTGAGATCCTTTTGTTCTTATTTCTTGTTCATCTTTATTCTTCCTCTCCAGACTTGTTTTCTTGCCTTTTGTTTTTCTGATATAGCTATGCCATTATCTGTGCCATCGGAAAACTTATTCAGCTTTTTTGTGACATTCAGTATCACCCTGTAAATTTAAATGACATTTCTTCTGAGAGGCTTTGGAGGTCTCAACATCAGGTTCCTCATGTTTTAGATTAGGCATGTAATTTAGCAGATTGAATGAGATTGAATAAGGCTTAACAGCAGCTGATTTCTTTGCTCTTGTTTCCAAATTAATCCTATGCGTCTGTATGAGATCTAAAACAAGATGCCACTATAATCTTGGAAAATCTTGGTATTTAATGGTGAAATTTTAATTCTACACAGTTAATAGAGTTGAGGATCTCATTGGAGCAATGAAACTGTCCTTCCTAAGTTCTGTACCTTCTGCAAGATATGGAGATGTGATCTGTATTTCATTGGGAGACACAGCGTATTCTACTTCTCCAAATAAAAAAAAATAAAGTTCTATTACAGGAAAAAGTGTTGCTCTTCTTTCTAATCTTGTTCTGCTTTGTGTGTAAATACGTAATCAATCTTTGTGGTGTTTTTTGTTTTTTTGGACAGGTTATTTGGAAGAGGAATGCTTTGCTGAACAGGACAGCACAGGATGACTTTCGATTCCTGTTCTTTGTGGGAGACTCTATGGATTGGTATGCTTTTCTTTTTCTTTTTTTTTTTTTTTTTTTTAATTTGTCAAACTGATGTGTAGTGATTACATATATACTCAAAGGTTCCACTCCTAAAATTCAGGAAGCAAAGCATTTAGGAAGCTTCCAGTGTGCTAGTTTTCTGTTAATTATGCAGAGATATAAACTAAAAGAGTTTGTTTTCAATAATATTTTCAGGGTTTGCCGTTCATCTAGGTGCTACAGTATTAAGTTACCTCTTCAACATATGTATGGTTAATATGACCGTTAAAGTACTGGAAAAGCTAAGAGTTGGGGGAATACTGTGTCAGTACTAGAAATGAATCTAGAAGTGCAGAAGTCCTTTCACATGATCTACAAATCGAAAACATGATTTTTCCCAAGAGCTAAGAATATCAAATTATTAATTACATTTTGCATATTTGTGGTTTCAAATAGTAATAATGACTCGCATGGCTGGCATTTCTTGACAGTTAATGGCTCTCCGAATTTAAGATAGAAATAAATATCCTCGAGAGGGCAATTAGTTGTATTTAATGACCCAAAGCAGAGGTGGCTGTTCCCCACCATACTTTCCTTTGAAAATTGCCACAGTAATGTTTATACAGTGGAAGAAAGGAAAATTTCCTAAATTAAACTAACGCTTCTTGTGAGTAGTTTTGTGGGTCATCTACTCATGCAGTGTAGTTGATTAGTTTCAATTTAGGATATGTAAATAGGTATTAAAACTGCAAACTGCTGGTTCCTTTCAGGAGGAACAGTTAGGTGAGTAAGAGAACATTGTCCCTGCTGGTTTGTGCTCTGACTCATTCTTTGTATTGGCTTTAGCAGAAAGGATTCCACTGCAATATGTTGCTGCCTCCACTTAATGGCACAGGAAAAAATGTTCAACTCATATTGAAGCAGGAATATGTCCCAGGATGCCTTGTTCAATAACAGGGTGTCAGAAAGTGCATACTTGAGTATTTTCTGTCAAAATATTTTTTTCAAAGACAAAGTAAGCCCATGACCCTCATACATGCTCTTGACTTTATTTGTCTTCCCAAAAGGATATTCTGCTTTTTTATGGTTATGCTGCATAAACTGTTTTTGCAGAGTTTTACTTCAAAATAATGGCAGCTTTAAAAAATACAGCAGGTTCCCATTTGTGACCATTTAAAATATTCCCAAGAACTAGATTCACCATATCAGGCACTGTGAGCTTCAAGTGTCTGAAGAAAGATGGCTTCTGCATGCTGGGCCTTGGTACTTTTGGTACAAACCTTGGTACTGGACAGTACTGAAAAAATGTTTGCTTTTAGCACATTAATTTAGTAAATGACTGGACATTTTGACAGCAATTCATAGCATGTTCTGATCTGCATCAAACACAACTGCTATGATGGTACTGTTTTCACAAGTAAAAAGTTCCCTGTTTTGGCTGTGTTGGAGTTACCGGTTTTGACAGATGTTGTCTTTGCATATGAGATAGAATCTTTTATTTCTGATTGAGCATACTATCCAGATTTTGAACGGAAATTATTTACCTTTTAGCTTCAAAAGCTGTTAAAAACAGACACCATAGTTCTAGCAGTAATTATATTTGATGAATGAAATTTGTGTGGCATTTAGCTTTAAGTGTGTACTTCATTGAAATAGTTGTGTCTATTATGTTCTATAAAAAGAAAGTTGCATACGAGTGAGAACCTTGCTTGAGAGAAAATGTGCATACCCAGTAATTTTCAGTACAGAAATGGAAAAAAGTGATTGTGTTATGCTTTTTTGCATGTGAAAAGAATTGGTGAGAGTACATGTTCCAAAAGTGAGAATGCTGTGACAAAAGGTACCTGCCTCTTGCTTGAGCACTTTCACCATCAAAAAGCTTACCTATTTAAACTACCAGAGCATGGTCTTCTTTTTACAAGGTACGTGATTGCCGTTCAGCAATGACTGCCTTTGAAATTACAGGATCTGTCTTTCTCAGAGAACAAGTGAGGACTGAAATGAAATTGCTCTGAAGTTATCCTATTGGTCCTTTTCTTTCATTTGAAATTTCTATCCTTACATAATTTTGGAGAAATTTGAGAGGGTAGGAAGAGGTATGCATGAGAAAAGAAACACAAGGTGCATGTTTAATAATCATGTGAATGCTCTTGGTAAAAGCCTCGTGAATAAAAAAATAAATAAATGTATGACTGCTTACAGAGGGGGTCCTTTTGAGTTTGTTGGCTGAAATGCTAATGACTTTTACAAAGAATAATGGCCAAGAAAGGCCATAACTAGCATGCCTGCAGGTTAGATAAGTACAACTTGAAAGCACGTTTAAGTATGGAGATTTGCTGTGTAATGCATGGAGAGATTTCATACATCAGACTGATAAACAGAGGAAGGTGCTGCCTAGAAACCATCAGGAAGCAGTGAGCACATGAGCAGCACTCAGTTTCTTTCTATCTGGAATCTAAAGACTGCAGTCCTCTTCTTAGGTTAGGTATTGTCTTCACAAAAGCAGATGACAGCTTGTTTATTGTTCTCAAACCGAAGATAAGTCTGATGACTTTCATAACAGCTGAATGGCTGACACTCACTTCCCACTGAAAGCATTTGGCAGGGTCCAAGCAGCAGCTTGAGATAGTCGCAAAATAGGATGTAGCAGTTTGCTTAGGGAGCTGGAATGGTGAGGGAGCATACAAGAGATTATTTTTCATAGTCACATTTTTTAGGAACAGTCTACAGACACCTGTGCATCCTTTGTTGTATGTTGGACAGTGGTGGCTTGAGAAATACAGGATAGCACAATCTTCCTGGCTAAACTAAGGATGCAGACCACTTTTGCTCTTACTCCCCTTGTTTCCTTCCTTCAGTTTAGAAGGACAATTCATGATAAAGCAGCATTTTGTAAAACTTTGATACTTTGCCTTGGAACATGAATGCTTCTAGTTATTTTTTTCTCTTAGGGTAGACTTATGTGATACCTTTTTTCAGTCACTTTTGAATGGAGATCAGATGAAGCAGAATTGAACATAGCACTGAAGATAAGAGGTGCCATGGATGTGTATTGTAGCAGGTAGTGTATATAAATATATATTTTATGTAGATAGGTCCTGCCTTTCTTTGTTGCTTTACTAACAGTTCTGAACACTTGGTTTAGTTTTCTTAAAGCAGAGTACCATCAGTTGAAAATCTGTTTTTCTTCTGGATGGTAATAGTTTGTTTAGCATCTGTTACTGTGCAGATAGCCCTGTTTTTCTACACATGTACAGCTTTACCTCTAGCAACACTGAATTTTATCTGGTAGTTTATTACCTTGTCATTAAGTATCATGAGATCCCTCTGTACCTCTTTATAGTTGACCTTTTGTTTTTATTAGATTGCTCTGAAAAACAGTTCATGTTCATCATCAGTAAATGTCATGAATTCACATTTCCCTATTCTTTCCATATGTCAAACTGCTTGAACCCCAGTGTAGTTTTTCTTTGTAGAATCTTTCCACTGACCTTTTTCTATTGAGAAACTAACTGTTCCTCCTTTTGTTTACTGTTTTAAACTGATTATTATCTGTGAGAGGTTTTATGTTTATCCAAGTGCAGATTAGTTTCTTTTAGAGCCTTGCTGGAGAAACCTTGTCAAAAACAGAAATGCAAAAGTAAGTTACCTTTGCTGTTTTGTTGCTCACAGAGCTCTAAAACATACTGCCCTGGGGATCTCATTTTCGGTTCTCCATGATTTTAAATCCAGAAGTATTTGTTGAATTTCTGCTCTTTTACAGTCCTGGCAGAACACTACAGCTTCTTTCCCTCTTCGGTGTTCTTGGCTTGTGGAGTCATAAGCCTCTGTGGAACTTCAGGTGAGTTTTTCTAGTTCGTTGCTGAAATTTGTGGTTATCTGTCCTGTAAAGCTGTTTTAACTTTCTGCTGTTGTTTATGGAGTTTGTTCTAACAAATATCTTGAAGAAGAGTAGTAAACAGAAGGTTTATAAAGACCAAAACTAAAAACCAACAACCAACAAAAACAAACAAAAAAGTGTTATCTACTATTTATGCTTTAGCTTATAAGTAACATTAGAAACTCTTCTACGGAAAGTTTCATAAAATAAAATGAAAGAAAATCTAGAATGAATGATGTTTATACAAAATGTCAGTTTACATGCTTTGGTATATTCTTGCTGAGTTTAACAATTGTTGAAATGTAATAGGGTAAAGTAGAAAATGACGACGATAGTTTTTTCTATTGCAGCAGGAAGACCTCTAAAAAATGGAATATGTATGACTCAACAAAATTAACATGCTTATAATAATACCTCTTCATGGTACTACTGGAAATGAAGAGAGACAGATTAATAGTTTGTCTTTTAAAAAAACAAACAAACAAACAAAGGCTGTCTGGCCCTGGAAACCATCTAGTGATCATAAGCATGAAAATGGGAAAGGAATAGCTTTGCTATGAAATTAGACGAGCGGGCTAAAATGTTGGTGTTGTTGATGAATTCTTGTCAGCATCCTGAGCAACCTTGCATTTGAGTCACAAAAAGTTGTCCATCCTGAGCATGTACATTAGGCTTGCTTTACAGTTCATTCCTTTACTAGTGAAATATTATTCTGGGAAGAGTACGCTTTTGATCCTCCTTGAAGCATATGGTTCTTGTGTAATTTCTTAAGTGTTTTTTCCTCCCTTCATTAGCGCCCAATGTTTGTACCAACCAGAACCTGCATAGATACTATGGGTGGGATTTGTGTTATTAGACACAGGCATCTCAAGTTAGTAGCACAAACTTGTCACAGTGTGCAGAGGAAGAGGAGATAGATTGCCCTCTGTAGATGTCTGTATCCTTCCTCTGACTAAAAACATGAAAACAGCCTGAAGTGGCTGCTACTTGTCATCCAGATTGAATGAGATGAATCCCACTTTATGTTTCTGGCTGTGGTGATCCATTTTTAAAAAAGGCATAGTCCTTCTGTTCTCCAGCTTGATTAGATGCCAGAGTACTCTGTGGATGCTTAAATTAATAGTCCAAGATGGAGAGGAGGAGTTCTGTGAAGAGCTAGCACTGAAAGGGGGAGACAGCTCTCAGCTCTTCTGCATTTTGTTGGTAAGAACAGTGAATATTTGATAAATACCTAAGACCGTATGTGTAAATTCGAAAAGGAAATGTTGCATTCTGTCAGCATAACAACGAGGAAGGGAGTTCAGCATAATGTCTAAGGATTAGATTTACAGGGAAAAGAGGACGTGAACAGTTAAATTATGTGGAATAGCAAAATGAATTAACAAATATTCATTTGTTAGACCAGTGAAAACAAGAACACTTGCTGTGGGGGGCAGGATTGTAGCAACTAAAGAAGAGTTAGTTTCCTGCACATTGATATGAGTCAGTCACTGTATGAAACAAATTGAGAAGTACTTCAGTCCTGTGGACATGTTATTTGATAATAAATAACAGTTTAGGATGTTTTACATGTATTTTTTCTTTCCTGAGGCATCTGCTGCTGCTGACTGACTTAGAACAAGGGATTCTATAATATGTAGTGTAGCTCGGATAGGTAAGCTTTTCAGTGCCTACCAAACAGGCAGATAGGTGATACTGGTACTACCTAAGTTATTTGGAAATACTACTAATGTTTCCAGCTGTAGGTGATTTCAAAACAAAATCATGAAGGTGGCTATGAGATTTAAATAAAGATACTTTAAAGATAGAGGATCCAAGGAACTACAGACTTGTCAGTCTGACCTCAGTACCAGGGAAGGTTATGGAGCAGATCATCTTGAATGTCATCAAACAGCACACACAGGGCAGACGAATTATCAGAAGCAGCCAGCATAAGTTTATGAAAGGCAGGTCCTGCCTGACTAATATCACCTCCTTCGAAATGACCAACTCGAGCGAAAGGCTGTGGACGTTGTTTTACCTGGGTTTTAGTAAAGTGTTTGACACTGTTTACCACAGCATTCTTCTGGAGAAACTGGCTGCTTATGGCTTGGACAGGTGTACAGTTTGTTGGGTGAAGAACCGGCTGGATGGCCGGGCTCAGAGTCACAGCGAATGGAGTTCAGTGCAGTTGGTGGCCCATCACCAGTGGCATTCCCCAGAGCTCAGTACTTGGGCCAGTTTTGGTCAATGTTTTTATGAACAATCTTGATGAGGGGATTGAGTGCACCCTCAGTAAGATCACAGACAATGCCAGGTCAGGTGGGACTGTCCATCTGCTTGAGGGTAGGAAGGCTTTGCAGAGGGATCTGGGTAGGCCAAGTCCAATCGAATGACATTCAAGAAGGATAGGTATGGGGTCCTGTAGTTGGGTCATAACCCCATGCAGCAGTATAGGCCTGGGGAAGAGAGTGTGAGCCAGCAGTGTGTCCAGGCGACCAAAAGGCCAACATTGCACTCAGTGTTGGTGAGCCTGCACCTCAAATGTCATGTCCAGTTTGGGCCCCTCATTACAAGAATGACGCTGAGCAGGCCCAGTGTGTGCAGAGAAGAGCAATGAAGCTGGTGAAGGGACTAGAAAACAAGAGTTATGAGCAACATCTGAGGGAACTGGGGCTGTTTAGTTGGGAGAAGAGGAGGTTGAGGGGAAACCTCATTGCTCTCTATAACTACCTAAAAGGAGGCTACAGCAAGGAGAGTGTCAGTCTCTTTTTTCAGGTGACAGGTGCTATAGCATATGAGGAAATAGCCTCAAATTGTGGCAGGGAAGGTTTAGGTTGGGTATCAGGAAGGCTTTCTTCATGGGGAGGGTGGTCAGGCATTGGAACAGACTGCCTAGGGAAGTGGTGGAGTTCTCTTGCCTGGAGGTTTTTAAGAGATGTGCTGGTGTGGCACCAAGGGTTTGGTGATGGGACTCATTAGGTCAGGTTGCTGTTTGGACTTGATATTGAAGGTCTTTTTCAACCTGGATGATTCTATGATTATATTGATTTGAATTATTCACTCTTCATCAGTAAAGTATTGGTTTTGAACGCAAGATTTCCAGTCCTGGTTATAGTAGAGAAAAGCATGGTGAGTCAGAGTATTGTACAGTATCAGCAAGGCTACAGGAGCAGGATCTTTAAGAAAACTACCAAATAGTGCTAGACTCTGGCATGGGTTCATAAGCAAAATATATCAGTCTGAAGTGTAAAGCTTTGCAAAGCTTAAATTGTAAGGATACTTTCGTCGCTGAGGAAAGCAAGTGATCATTTGCTTCACATTGATTTTAGAGAACCTTATTTTGTTTCTTTATTTTTTATTTTTTGCAGATGGAAATACTGACATGAATTTAAGAACTTTGATGCTTTCGGATGTTGAACTCTGATTTGGTAAATGACCAGGAATAAGATACTGCCTGAACAAGCTGAAATGCCTTGAAGACCTCTGGTTGTGCTTTCATTCTTCCTGAAGCAATGGTTTTCTCAGCAATGTTGACACTGGCCAGTCCTGGGACCTCAAATGCTACTTTTATTGTTTATGAAAACGCCTACACGAATTTTACTACTCCACATTTCTTGCTTCGTAGTGGCACAACACAGCCATTGAGATATAGTTCAGGTGCCGTGCTAACCACTGAGAGAAGTACTTTTCTGGTAAATGCTACAGCTATCCTGCCATCACAAGAAGTTTTCAGGAGCTTGAGTTTGCCACTCCAGATCATTCTTTCTGCTGCTATGATATTTATCCTATTGGTTTCTTTCCTTGGAAACTTTGTTGTCTGCCTCATGGTCTACCAGAAGGCAGCTATGCGATCTGCGATTAACATTCTCTTAGCAAGCCTGGCTTTTGCAGACATGCTGCTGGCAGTGCTGAACATGCCTTTTGCTTTGATAACAATCATTACCACTCAGTGGATTTTTGGGGATATATTCTGCAGAGTCTCTGCCATGTTTTTCTGGCTTTTTGTCATAGAGGGGGTAGCCATTCTTCTTATTATTAGCATTGACCGATTTCTTATCATAGTGCAGAGGCAAGATAAACTGAACCCATACCGTGCAAAGATTCTAATTGTGATTTCCTGGGCAGCATCCTTTGTTGTTGCTTTTCCGTTGTCAGTAGGGAATCCTAATCTGCAGATACCCTCGAGAGCACCTCAGTGTGTTTTTGGCTACTCTACCAACCCAGGTTACCGAGCATATGTGATAGTTATCTTGCTAATTTCCTTTTTTATTCCATTCCTGGTAATGTTGTATTCTTTTATGGGCATACTCAACACCGTCCGCCACAATGCAGTTCGTATCCATAGCCACCCTGATAGCATATGTCTCAGCCAGGCCAGCAAACTTGGTCTCATGAGCTTACAGAGACCTTTTCAGATGAATATTGATATGAGCTTTAAAACTCGTGCCTTCACGACCATCTTGATTTTGTTCCTTGTCTTCATAGTCTGTTGGGCACCCTTCACCACTTACAGCCTTATTGCCACATTCAACAGCCACTTCTACTACAAGCACAACTTTTTTGAGATAAGCACTTGGCTCCTTTGGCTCTGCTACCTCAAGTCTGCACTGAATCCACTGATTTACTACTGGAGGATTAAGAAGTTTCATGATGCATGCTTAGACTTGATGCCCAAATACTTCAAGTTTTTGCCACAGCTACCTGGCCATACAAGGCGGCGGATTCGACCCAGTGCCATCTATGTGTGTGGAGAGCATCGGTCTGTAGTGTAAAGCTGCAGTTGTATGACAATGATTGATTATTATTTTCTGGGATTATTTGTTTTTAGGCTTTAGGTTGATTTTTGTTTTTGTTTCATATGGCTTCTTCGGTGTGGCCATATCTTATAACTTGATTAAATTTTCTGTGCAATTTTGGGAGGAAAGACAGAGGGAGGGGATGTGATCGGTTATAGTTGGGTTTACTACCAGAATACAATCTACACAAAATAACAAATGTTACCTCTAGGATTCCATGGAAATCCATTCTTTTAAACAAAAATTGCATTTGTAACATTTTGTCAGGTTTATGGTTACTAGACCTGCAATTGCATCTAATTGTAGGGATTTTTTATGCTGCTAAGATACAGTATATTCGGTTGGTGTAATTTTTCTGAAAAATGTTGCTGCTGTCTGCCAATATATTAGAGCCAAAAAGTCTCATTAGATAACTTCTATTTAATTTTAACAATATTTCAGAAGTTTTGGTGGTGACACTATAAAACTTTTTTTCTTTTTTAATATTTCCATAAATATTTTTGTGCACTTTAAAGAAATTGCTATAGAATTTGTTCATTGGAATATTTTGTTCTGTATTGAAGGGGTATTATTGTTGTTATTATTTGTTATATTGGTGAATTTCAATGAAAGTCCCATGTAAGCTCTAGGAGGGCAATTTATGTTGGTATAGCTACAATTACAGTCATAGATTTGATGTTTTTCAAATGACTGATCAAAAGTAGCATTTTCTGCTTATTTCTGAGGGGAGTTGGAAGCGATGGAAATATCGTATCCTGAGGTTTAGGCTAACAATTGATTTAGAAAAGGGGAGTTCACTTGAAAATTGTTGGAGGGGGAAAGGGTAGCTGCGGTGTGGTTACCTGAGGTTGTTAGATGCTATCCAAGCCTAATGACATGCCTGAAAAGCTATAAGAAATTGTGACTGTGCTTTCAGTTCACAGTATGTTGGTATAATGCTGTTTCTGCATGAAGATCATTTAAGGCTAGGTATGCTCTATATGGCTGAAATCATGCTATCAGGTGTTCATTGGGATAGAATTAGGGATAGTAGGGGAAGCCTATGTAGCCTACATAGGAACAACTGTGGGGGACAAAAATCCTAATTGCTTGTTTTCCAGTTTAAGTGTTAGGTTGAAATCATAATCTCATAATAATGAATAACAGTTGGCCAGCAAAGTTTGGTAGGGATGGAGTAAAGTTCCCCTTTTACCCTCGAGACTTCTTTACATTAATTTTTCTTTGCCCCTTTCTTTCTGTAGTGGCTGCTACTTCAAGGGTTTACTCTACTGTTCTCATGCATTAGGCATCAGGTTCTCCCCCTGAAATGCCAAACCACCCTTTTATTAGTACCAGGCTGTCTTAATACCTGCCTGGAAAGTAGAAAGACAAACGTCTTCCTTGACTGCAGCAATCCAGGCTCAGATTTTTTTTTTTTTCAATCAGCTAAATAAATATTTAATGAGAGGCAAGTAAAAATAAGAATTTGGTTTGGGCTTTGAAGTGAGATCCCCAGTTCTGAGGCTAGGGAAGAATGCTTGCAGAACTTGTGTGTTCTTGCAGAAGGTTTTTGGGGCTGTCTGTGATGGGGTACAGGAGGAATAAGGCACAACGAACTTGTCAACCAGGGCTACGGGTTGGGCTCCTCTTGGTTCCAGCTGTCTTTCAGTACTCCAAAGCATGGGGCCTCTTCATTGTTCTTGTTCCTGAAGAGCAAATAGGAGCAATTTTATCTATTGCTGCATGAATTCTGAACTGAGTGTATGAAGGAAATGCTCTGTACTGCGTGGATGTCCAAGGACTGCTTGCTTCTGGAGGCCAGCTAAGCATTTCTAGCACAGATTTTATTCAGGTCTTCAGTGAAGAACTACTTAAACTGTAATTTCTGTTCCTCTCATTGACAATTATTGGTAAAAGTGTTGGCAATTTTTACATTTTATGAGAATAAAAGGAATGATTCTGAATTTTAGTAATTTCATTTTTTAACAACAAAAGGCTTGTTAATGCACTGCTAGTGGAAGTTCTGGATTGTGAAGGCACCCTAGCAGGGCTGATGTTATTGATGTCCATGTCAATAATTTCTATTCCTTGTCAACCTCAATGATGATATGGATTTTTCTGATCAAAATGATAGGCGGTAAAGGAGTTCCACTGTAAAACAGAGTGTTTTAGTGTCTTTGCAGTATAGCTTTTATTTCTCAATTACATTTACATTGATGGCAAAAGTTTATGACCTGGATTGTATGGATTTTCTGTTTCAGAGCTGTCATTCTTGTTTATCTCTGAAAGCAGCAAAATTGTGCTTACAGTTAATGTAATATGGTAAGAGTACACACTGTCGAAGATGGCAGAACAGGTATTTTTTGCTGTCTTCCAGAGCTAGGATATAAGGGGCTTGAACAAATGTAAAATACTGTAATTCAAAAAGGAATGAGAATTGAGTAATACAGGAAAGTGAGATGGCTTTCTTGAAGGGGAAAGGGAAAAGATTGTTGGGGGATTTCATAATCTCCATTAAGTACTTGCTGTGAAGTATAAATTGCAAACATCAAAGAAAGTTAATCTGTCTGAATAACTTGTTGTTTGTTTATTACTACTCTACCAAGGTTTCTGCTCAGAGGTGGACCTGCTGATACCTGGAGAAAATAAATGCTGAATGTGTAGCCCAAATTCAAAAGCGACTGAGGTGGTGATACAATATTCACGTTTAACCAGGTTTTAGAGATGATGAGAGCATGTAGTGAACAAAGGGTGTTCAAACAAACAAACAAAATGGTGTCAGAGAACAATCCCCAGGATAACTGTGTTTACACATTCATTTGGCCTATTGTGTCTAATACACTGTCTTTAGAGCAGTGCCTTGATCATTACAGCTGAAGTTCTAGGACCAAGATAAATACCACTAGAACTGCTCAGTCTTACTGTCTGTGATCCCACCAAGATAAGCCTGACCTTGCAAACATTTGTAATGTTAAAACACATACATGTTTGCAGAATTAGGGCTACTGAGGCATTTTGGTGGGCTTGATCAAGTCAGGATTTTAAAAAATAAAGTTGATTGTTCTTGATTCTAGTGGAAATTACAATAGTGTTCTCCAGAAATTATACATGTTACTGAACTGCATTCCCTTATGTTACATTTTCAGAAATCTTTCATATGGATGATGGAAATGAATGTATTTTCAATTATGTTTCCGTTAATTCATTCTGTGAAAGCATGCTGCTTACACAAGGCTCATTTGTAGAAATCTATTGCTAAAATGATTCTTTTGTACTCAAAGTTGTGTATTTTTGACATTTGGTACTCATGTAAGAAAATTTATGTATATAGATAAGAAAATTGTTTTGCCTCTTACTGTTTTCTGTTACTTTCTTAATTTGTATGCCAGATGCTTTTATATTTTCTTTTGAATTTGGGCACATGCATAAACAGTTGCAAGACTTCAGTAGTCTTTATGTAACCATTTGAAACTTTCAGTTCTCAAATCATTCAACAGTGCCCTCCTAGAGAGAGATCTTGATTTATTTTTAAGTGAAAAATAAAAATTTGGAGCACAAGTTTGTGGTTGCACTGGTGACAAGTTTCTTAAGTCCAGTTTTCTAGGAGCCACCGCTTCACCATTAACTTTTAATTTTTATTTTTTTTTAAGAAATAGTCATTTTCTGAAGAAAACTTGAATTACTCTTTTAAAACAACCTGTTTAGTAAAATGGTATTGTCCTTTCTGTGTCTGTGAGCATACCTGAGAAACAAACAACAAAAAATACAAACATTCTCAAAAAAATGTGGCAAAAGACTATTCAATTGCTATGTATTTGTATATTCAAAACCTAAGCAAAAGTTTTCTGTTTTGATGTCCAGCTTCCTAGTTTCAAGTATCTTATTTAGTTTGTAAATTAGAGTATTAGATTGCTTTTCAAAATTGCAGTTTAAAACAAAATATTGTTTTAAAAAATAGAAAGCTCTCTTAAGAGCTTGCATGTCAACATAGCTGAAATAAAAGTGGTAATATACGGGAAAGGAGGAAAAAAAAACTTCCAAAAATACTACCTGTACCGTGTGCTATCTCTTAGCTGGGACTAAGTTACTTTAAATAATCTTATTTTACAATAAATGAAGCAGGCAGTGGTATTGCATGGCATGATTCATTTCAATATAAGACAGTGACCTTTATGATTCAAATGTTGCTTGTTTGTATGTGATGAATTACTTCATGTATTAGTAGAATGAAAAATGTTCAGCAGCTTGGCTGTTTTGGGGAATTTTTTCAGTCTGCTAATGATTCAGCAGAAATTCCACTAGAGTAATGCAGAGAGCAATGTAAAGAGTCAAGGCGTATCCCTAGAGAACCCCTGCAAGGGGATGGGTATTCCAGGTGCCAGGGGATGGCCTTGCTCAGCTGGCCACACAGCTAATTGTAATGCTCCATCCCCGACTTCTTCAACAACCAATTCTTCATATTGTCTTCTCTACTTTTGCTTTCTGCCTCCCCTGCTCTGCTGTATCGTGGCAGGTGTGGTGGTGGCAGGAGGTGCTGGCGTTTGGATAAGCGGAGGAAGCATAGGTGCCTGGAGCAGCTGTTGGACCACCTTGAGTATGGTTTGGAGCATATGTGACAGGCTGAGAGAGAGTTTTACCAACTTTACCAAGATTAGGGCTGTCAGGGAAGAGCTATTACAGGTCCACATATATTTGCTTCTAGTGTTAGTGCAGGATTCTGCTCTTATCCCCAGTAGTTCCAGGTTTTGTTCAGTTTTTGTCCTGTTCCAACTGAGCTGCAACAGTCATCAGCTCATTGCTGAATTTGTCCCTCTGTTTTTGTGAGTACCTTGGGCACAGAATTTGCCAGTGAGTATTAAACAGAACTGGAGTTCCTACTGCTTGCTGTCAATCAAAATGGCATTAATGAAGACAATCAGGTCTGCTCTGTTATGAGGAGGGAAAAAAACAAAAGACTTTAAGTCAGTTACTGCACTGTATGATGGGGGAAATTGTCAGCTGTAGTAGGTGATGCTACTTAATTCTCAGATGCTCCTTACAAAACTGATCTGTGTTTGTAAGATGAAAGTTATGGATACTTTGGGCACAGTATGTCTATTTTACTTTATTGTGCAACAGTGAGTGCAGCTTGAGGTAAAATCACTAAGTGCTGCAAGCGAGTGCAGATAGATATATTTGATAAATATCAAAGTAGAACTTGTTCCTGTTCTATTCTGTCTCGGTAACTAACTTTGCTTGTGTGTGGGAGCAGAACATAGCAATATTGAGGCATGCTCCTTGTTTAATTGGTGCTGTGCCTTAAATAGATGACTGCAATTCAAACCTCTGTGGTTGACCTGAAATAAAGGTAAGCCTTTTCACCACTGTGAGCAGGAATACTACTAATGCTGTCCCTTCTGTTGAAAGAGGAGTTCTCGTCAAATAAATGGCAATAATTCCTCCAGGAGTGAATTAATCTGTTCTCCAAAGGGGCTGTAATCACTGCTGTGATAAACATCAGTGTTGTCTTTAGATTTAAGGGACCTAGGCTCTGTGTCAAAAATGGGAGACTTTGGTGGCTGTGAGTAGTTCATAAACAGCTGGTATGGCAAGAGAGAGACCCTGTAGCTTGGAGCAAAGTCTTGGTGCTGAAGTACAGCTTAAGTCCTGCTGTTCTTTGAGGTGCCAGTGCTGTCTCTCTGAAAAAGTTATGCCTTTCAAAGGCAGAGAGAGTGGCCTGTCTTTCATCATCTCCTGTTTGTTGACTCTTTGATGGTGAGAACAGTCTTAGAATTTGGTTCCCTGGATTTGGATGTCCTTCCCTTCCTTACAGGAGGAGATTGAACCTGTCATGTATCGGCCTGTAAACTGCAATATGTCCTAGAGCAGGGAGATGCTGTCAGTCCCTCTTGTGGATGGTATCACAGTGAGTGATTTCATATTTCTTGGGCCAGAGGGAAAGAGCTGGTGTATTCACAAAGAAGTGGAAGGCTGTGCTCCAGTCACCTTTCATATAAGGTGGAGAAGAGTTTTGCAGTTAGGTTTTCAACTGCTGGAAGCCCCATTGCTGATGCATGCAGTAAGTATGAATGCCCCTTCTACTCTTACCATAGATAAGGTAAGAATCCACTGGTTACAGCATTCACAAGAGACAGAAGCTGTGGTTTAAAATCCTCTTGGGTCCTAAGTTGAACTGATACGGTATTTTCCTCATAAATATATTCACCACTGAATAACTAGCTTAAGGAGGGAGTGGTCTGCCAAGAAATTTGTCTTGGTTATGTTTTTTTTTGTTTTGTTTTGTTTTGTTTTGTTTTTTGTTTGTTTCTCTCCAGTCTTAGCTGTTGAATGAGCCCTGACAATGCCCGTGGATGGAATTTCTCATGATGTGGGTAATGTAAAGCCTGTTCTCTAAATCCTAGTTTGAGATGGGCACTGCACTGTTCACCACTGTCAGTGCTGCAGCACTTATGGACGTGTGTAGGAGCAGATACATATGATGGGATGAATGTATTATTTTAGCTATCTCTGACAAAACCTTTGAAGACAGACGCCTTCGTTTTCAGTGCAAGTACTGCTAGTCTCTGACCCTCTGAATGAGAATCTACAAATGGCCTGTAAGTTGAACCTCTGGATCTTAACCCCTCTTCCTTAACACATGACTTTATTTTTTATATTTTATTTTTGATTTTTTTAACTGAAGCAGGTCTCTAAGGGAAAAGAAAAATTCAAAAAGCATTTCATGTTTGAGATTTTTTTGGGAGGTGCTTGTGTTACAGTAATTAATTCACATGACTTGTACAGGAGGCCAGACTATATGACCACAGTAATTCTTTCTGACTCTTTTTTTTCTGTATGAGAGGCTGATTTCACTTACATAAATCTTCACTTTACTAGTGCTATTGTCAAGGTGAGCCTGGGAATTGCTAAGAAGAATCTTAACTATAATTTAAGGGGTACAAATAAATGGCCCTTTCAAGAGCATTGCTAACCTTTGTAATTCGTCTTAGGTCAACGTTGGTGGTACTTGATTCTAGAAGGCTGGCTTTTCTAATCAACTTTCTCAGAGGAATTCATTATCTTAAAACCTGTGACTAACGAAAGATGTTTTGTTCTTTTGAAGTTCAAGCTAATTTCCATGAAGGTTACTATTACTAAGCAACAGATTCTGTTGAGCGTCTCTTGAGGGGCTGAAGCTACGGCATGTACAAAAGTAAAGCAAAACACAGTGAAAATATGATGAAACAGTATCCCCGGTAGAGTGGCCACAAGTAGTGCCACGCACAGGGCATTTCCAGGAGTTTCCGTGAAAGCTGCTGTTTGACCCACGGGAGCTGAAGATCAGCGTAGACTGATCATAGCATTTCACTGTCTGCTGCAAACACAAAGCAAGATTCAGCCTCTCATCAGACAAATACACCACAGCATGACCATTCAAAAGCGCAAAAAAAAAAAAAAAAGAGTCCACGATATAATTCAGCATGCTGCTCGACTCTTCTGAGAAAAGGAATGAGATACAGTATGTTAGTCATATTCAAAGAAGAGCACTTATTCTACTTGTGTAAGGACAGAGTGAAATGAAATACAGGAATGCCTTTTTAGGTTACAAAAGATGCTATCTTCCAGTATTATTTCTGTGCAGCTTTGTGTCTGAGTAGAAATATATATTTGCAGCTTCCTTAAGTTAAAAAGGGGGGCGGGGGATATTCAGCTTTATGAGGGAAAATATTTCACTCTTCTCTAGCTTAGCTAACAGTTTTGTTAAATACAAGGTACAAATGATAGGAGAGCCCAGAAGCAGATGTGTCCTCACTTCAGTGAAAAAAATGCCTTGATGTCTGAACCCCTCCAAACTTTCCCATCCAGGGTTGTACAGGAACTTCCCAGCTCTGTTTAAAGCTCATCAGTGTCTCTTGTGCATCTGCTTACATCTATCAAGTGACTGAATGGCTTTTAAAAATTAATGTGATTTTTAGAAATGGATTCTGTTCTTAAACTGCATCCTCATTTTATGTTGCAAGCTCTAAATCACTTTAAGCAGGGGTTTGAAATCAATAAGTTGCATGAAGTCTGATTAGTTGATTACAGAAAGAATTAGTTTGTCTGCAGCAATTAAGATTTTATGATGTTGCCATAGGTCAATTACATTATGGTTTCTGTGGGAAATGCCAGTGTTTTGAGAATGTTTTGATTTTCATTAAAAGGGCAAGTTAGTGGTTTCAAAAATTCTCTCAGCAGACAAAGAATCAATTCCTTTAGAAAAGTAGGCGGCTTCTGTTTTGGCATTTCTTCAACAAAATGCTGCTGTTTGTCTGTTCCAGAGACTCGTGCACTATCCAGGACCCCAGGCAACCTCCAGAGAATCAGACTGGAGTGTGAAGGTGTCTCAATGTAAAAAGGGGTGTCAGTAAGCTTGAACTCTTACATTTCCAACTCTCTTAATGCTTTTAGGGGCTCTGTTGCAGGGACCAAGCCAAACAGTCAAAGCCTGAGTTAAGCCTGGTCTCCAGAGACAAAGTCTTTTATCTTTGTGTCAGCGAACCTGGAGATCCAACATGCTTAGCTTCACAGCACCTTGCATC